TTTGCTTTATCATTCTTATTAATACTGTATAATTATGAAGTGTATATTAAATTATATTCCATCTAATATTCAGTACAACCAAACAATGATTTATCTGATTTTAAAAAAAGTGATGATATAATGACAGTGTAATGTGTAATTTCGAAAATTCACACTTCATTGCTAAGATTTATTAAGAAATGAATTTCTCTCATTTTGCACTTACATATTGTGTATAAAGACTAAGTCCCCTTTCTAATAAACCTTGTAACTCATTGGCGGATTTAGAGGGGGTCACCCCCCTTTTGTGTTTAAAATATACATAAGAAATACTAATTCGATTTTCTGATGTGTCCGTGAGCCCCAACTGAAACTGGTCGGGCCCCCTTTTAAAGATTTCTGGATTCGCCACTGTAACTGCATCAAGCATCACGGCATCTTTTGAAACACGATACTTATCTGTGGTAATGTTATGTTTGAGCTCAAGCGAGAGAGTGTAGATAAGCTGTGTGTTTTATATTCTTTCCTCTTTGTAAAGAACACAATGAAAAATTCAAACTGTTAATTACATATATACAGTGTATGTCAAATTATTTAGAATAAATAAATAAATGAATTAATAAATATATTTTTGTATAATAAAAAAAATAATGAATTAATAAACATATTTGAAAGGTTGAGATCTTAAATTTGTACGCGCACGAGTACTTGTGCATAAACATTGACGTACAAGTATGACATTTCAACTTCTCTAATAGAAAATGAAAAAAAATAATTACAGAATTTCAAAAAAAAAAAAAAAAAAAGAATTTGCATATTCAAGCACAGGTACCACAGGCACTTGTTTCGGAAATAAATTAAACCCATATTACTAATAATATTATGAGTTAAATTTTTTCCCCCGAAACAAGTGCCTGTGAAAGGTATTTTCCCCCCTTCTCCCCCCCCCCCCCCCCCCCCTTATTCAACCCCGGGGCTTGTTGGACTTTTTTCGCATATCACATTTATTATACTTATTCATCATGTGTACAATAGCAAAAAAATCGTAAACCTCCTAAAATAATCGCTCCAAATAAAAATACCCCACACAATAAAAGTACAATGTAAGAGGTATATCTTTCTCTCTATAGCAAAGAAAGGATGGCGACGTTTGATAACGTTAGGGTGAGAAATCCAACTCACGCGCGGATCTACAGGGGACGGGGTGTATTTGAGTTTTAAATGTATATACTTTTCCAACTAGAAGTGACATTGGACCCCTTCCCCCCCCAAAAAAACCCGGACCCTGTTAAGTAGGTACCCCCCCCCCCCAACACATATGCAGTTGGCTTTTTGAACTGGGATAGACACCCCCACCCCTCCTCCCATGAAAAAAAAATCCAGAATCTGCAACTGTTTAATCTATATTTACGAGAAGCGTCTCAATTAAACAATTACAAAATATAATGACGAAAAACATATATCAATATGACTTGATTTTTTGTTGGAAAAATGAGGTTTAGAATAAATCCCAAGATAGGCTTAAGGGGGCTCTCTTCAACGTCACAACATGGCGTACTTCCGTTGAAACGCCATTTTGGTCCCAAATGATCTGATTAAATTCACTGAACACCGATAAATCACCGAGTATAACGCAACATGCGGTATTGTGGAGGGAACGTACATTGTATCACCTCGAGGCGATAAGAGTGTCCTATACGTATCCTTTCTTTAAACATGAATTGTTTATCCATTTATTCAATTCCTACTTATTTAATTATCAAAAAAAGAAAGAAAAAAAAGATCTACAAACTAATTAGTATGAATATGAATTTTAGCAAAGAAAAATTCATTTAAAAACGTGGGTTGTCCATATGCTAATTCATCATTACGTGTCAAATCGCCATAAATTCCGAAATTTATTTTTTTCTTCCAAAAATATTCACGCTTTCACAAAACATGTATCCAAAAAAGCAAATTGATCAGGTAAGGCATATTTGTCATTTTGTCAACGTCTAGAGGATACTATGTTCACGATTTGTATACATCTGAATGTGTGGTTATACCCGATGAAATTTAAACACTTCATGAAATCACCAAAACGTTTTGACAGAAAATTGAATTTTGTATGACTCAAACGTTTGATCAACATTGATTATCAGCTGTTTGTATGGAAAACGTGCAGCTTTGAAACGAAGTGTGAATTTGCTTACAAGAATTTCTTTTACCCGCTTTTGGCCATTTACCATGTTTACATTTCATGTTATATATAGCACTGGATAATACGTGCAAATTGGATAAAAACGGTAAGTAAATCTACCTTTCTCAATACTACGAATTCACTACATGTCTTTGTCTTTGACTGTAAACGTGATGGTTTTCGCATAAATTCATTTAAAACAAAACAAAACAAAACAATACAATACGAACTTCTTTTAATGCCCTTGCTTGACATCTTTTTTCAATACTTGTGCAACATTAGTAGACTTTATTTGAAGTACTAGAAAAACAGTACCAAGATATTTGAGCCCACACTTGAAGCGGATCTTTCACACCTGAATTTTTGTGATGTTTGAAATTTTTGACAGTTTTTTCAATTTTTTTCAATTTCTTTTTTACATTGTTTTAACCATTTGATATTCTATATATTTTCAGATATTGGAGGAAATCCAACCAGCTATTCTCAAGAAAATGCTGTTTTAAATTTTCTTTTGTCTTTTTTTGTAAATTTAAATAAAAATTATATTTTTATTATTCAGATTTTATTATATGATTATTGTACATTTTATTTATAACTTTGTTGGTTATTATTTCAAAATCTCATAGCATTAAACTTTGAACAGAAAGTACTAGACTTTTAAAAATATAGAATGGAGGGGTTTTAACAAAATAAATGAAATATTCTAAATATTTCCAAAAAATAAAGTGAAATACTTTGGACCCTTATTTTATCGGATATTGAGCCTATTATTAGAAACAAATGCATGCAACAAAAATCAGTTATACTTGATCAAAGGTGTAGAGACTCTCCTTAAATGAATTGAAGGCTGTGGTCATATAAACAAATCGTGTGATCATGTAATATATCAATCATGTAATAAGATTTTATGATTATGTGATATTACAATCATGTAATAAAATCGTTGACCATGTGATTTCTTAATCATGTTATCATATCGTGTGACCATGTATTATCTTTAAAATGTAATTAAATCGAGTGATCATGCCATATTTAAATCAAGGAACTTGAAAATTATGTAAAATTTTAATCATGTAATCAAATCTGTGATCATGTCATATTTAATCATGTAATCAAATCGTGTGGCCAGGTAATATTTTAATAATTTAATTTAATCGAGTGATCATGACATACTCAGAATTTTAATCATGTAATCAAATCGTGTGATCATGTTATATTTTAATCATGTCATCAAATTGGTGACCATGTAATATCCTTAACATGTAATCAAATCTTGTGAATATGTCATATTTTAATCATGTAGTCAAATCGTGTGATCATGCAATATTATATAATATATAAGTAATAATTTCGTGTGACCAAGTCATATTATAATCATGCAATCATATCGTGTGATCATATAATATTTTAATCAAGTAATCAAATCGTTGACAATGTAATATTTTTATCATGTAATCATACCTTGTGACCATGTAATATTTAAATCATGTAATCAAATCGTTCGAGTGATCATATAATAACATAATCACGTTACCATATCATGTGGTCATGTAATATTTTAAGCATGTTATCAAATTGTTGACTATTATAATTATGTAAATAAATAGTGTGAAAATGTAATATTTTAAGCATGTTATCAAATCATGAGATCGTTTAAGTCTAAGTCCAACGTGTGATCAAATCGTGTGATCGTTTAAGTCTACCGTGTCAATCGTGTGATATATAAAATGACAGCTGTATATCAATCATGTGATCATGTAATCAAATTTTGAAACCATATATTTTTATCATGCAAACATTTCGTGTGATCGTGTTATGTTTTAATAATGCAATCATATTTTTTTATCAAGTGATATTTTAATCATGTAATCAAATCGTTGACTATGTAATATTTTAATCATGTAATTTTCTCGTGTGATCATGTAATATTACAATTATGTAATCAAATCGTTCACCATGTAATATTTTAATCAATCATGTAATTTTCTCGTGTGATCATGTAATATTTTAATCATGTAATCAAATCGTCGACCATGTAATATTTTAATCATGTAATCAAATCGTTGACCATGTAATATTTTAATCATATAATTTTATTGTGTGATCATGTAATATTTTAATCATGTAAACAAATTGTTGACCATGTAATATTTTAATCATGTAATTTTCTCGTGTGATCATGTAATATTTTAATCATGTAATCAAATCGTTGACAATGTAATATTTTAATAATGTAATCAAATTGTTGACAATGTAACATTTTAATCATGTAATTTTCTCGTGTGATCATGTAATATTTTTATCATGTAATCAAATCGTTGACCATATAACATTTTAATTATGGAAATAAATCGTGCGATCATGTAAAATTTTAAGATGTACTCAAATCGTGTTATCATGTAATATTTTAAGCATGATTGAAATCAAATCGTGTGATCGTTTAAGTCTACTTCAATCGTATGTTCAAATCGTGTGATCGTTTTAGTCTACGTACCGTGTCAATAGTGTTATATTTAGAATGACAGCTGTTTATCATTCATGTAATCAAGTTAGTTTTTGATTTTTAAGTAATTGTTACATGTAGTCCATCATTCAGATGAAATACACGTATACATGCAAATCTATGATATATATATATGGGGAAAAATAATGTGATTTGGAATATTCTATTTGATATTGCTTAAATTTTATTAAATAAAACCATGCTTGCGATCGCGAAAAACTTGAAAATGTGCTTTAATAATTTTTTCCAATAGCAACTTAATATACGTACTAATACTTTTTTTTATCAAACGACAACTTTCAAGTGAAATTGAACATATATCACAAAACATCATTTTTTTTCGCAAGTTTAATAAAAATTGTTCAAAATTTATATACTTTAGAAAATATATATAGTTTTAATACGTAAATGCCAAAAAAGGCCAACTGTAAAAGTGGGATTACAATGAAACACAAGCCCGGCACGGTTATACTGGGATAAAGAGGCTGATTGTAGTCCAGGACATTGTAAATGACGGTCCCTGAAGCCGCATACAACACAACACTGAACGCAGTATACACCAGCCCGTAAACGATAGGATACAGCAAATGTAAAAAACGGACTGGTCGTGCGCAGATTGCGATATCAATCAAAACAAACAACGTGTTAAACGCATGCACGTTTAAGTCGTTAAAGAGTTGAGATTCAGTAACAGTTAAAGTAGGGTAGATGGCGCTAAAGTAGATGATTGTCACAATAATCGAAAACATGTGCACTATATCAGAGAGCAGCCATGACAGTTTCATGTACCACGTGATATTGTCGTGCAGCTCATTCCCAGGATTTTTCGATCCTCTTTTTTGGTCCTCTTTAGGTTTTGGATTTTCCTCGTCTACAAATCCTGGGTTTTCTCGACTTGTACAGTCGCATTCATGTTGCTTCTTGTTGGTAACAGTTTTGTTCCTTTGAAAATGATGATAAATAGTAATAATGGCCGTTACAATGAAATGAAGAGTTAGAACGAGGTACGTCCATATTGTTAGGAAACGCAGAATTGTGTAGCTGGGTTCCATCGCAAAAATGGCGATGAGTGCTCCAGCGGTGTACACAGATAAAAAGACCCGGATGATGATGTAAACCCATGCTGGCCACCGCCACTAAAAATAGAAAATATAAATGGTGTGGATATTAAATAAATATTTTAATATTTTATGCGAAATTTATTTTGAGGAAAAAAAATCATCTGATTATTTGTCTCCCGAAAGAACTGGAAAGTTATCTTTTTTATGTAGCTAGTAGATTTAGCCTTCTATTCAAACTACAAAAAATTATCCATAAACACATGCTTGTCCTATCTCCTCCCTGTGTGAGAATTTGACTGCATCTCCATTGTTTTAATTTGTTTGTACTTTTAGCAGAATATATTTCCCAAATTTTATTATCGTTATCAGCTAGCATGCTTCTGCATTTCTTGCAGAAATTGAGTTCGACTTTTAAATCTTCTAAAGCTTACCGTCATGCAAATATTTAATAAATAAAAAAGGCTAGTTTTAATACAAACTTCTCGTGCTTTTGTTCAGAGTTACATGTTTAAAAATGAATAATGCCTATACGTATCGAGTAAACTCTGCAATAAGACTATATTAAAGTTATCATATTGCAGAGTTTACTCAATAATTCTTTTTGAAAAGGACGTCATATATATTTGCCAATTATATTAATTAAAAGAAAAGAACTTCGATATTCATGGATTTACAAATAACTGAAGTTCGTTCGAAAATGAAATCGTATACAGATATATCTCGGTATATCAGCCATCGAATCCCACTCTGGGACGCGAAGACGGGTCCCTCGGATGAGACAGCCGTGTCGCAGTACACGTAGGTGCTGGGATGAAAAAGACCTCCCACTGCTCAATGGCCCCGACTGTGGAATATTGCAGCGCTCTAGTGGCAAGATACACACAAAGCAAAAGAGAGAGAGAGAGAGAGAGAGAAAACATAACACTACCCTCACTTCATCCACCCCACTCAAACAGTTCGATGTTTCAGTATGCCATCAGCCCGTATGATACATGAAGGTCCAGGATCCAGTCATTTCACAATTCGTGCTGCAGCATTCAAAATGATAATTTTCCGATTTATTTTTATAAAAATCTAGGCGTGAGCCTTTTACATAAGTTGAAAATGTTAGCTTAATGATTGTGTTCTTCGAAAACGGGTTCGATTATTTTTCAATGTTTGCTGAAAAAAAGTTATCGCTGTTGCAAAGGCATTCGATCAAATTGACAGGTAGACCTATTTACATTGGAAGTAATCTGGTTATTCATGTCTGTTTTACTCAGACCCTCTTTTCGATGAATGCATATGGGTGACATTTTTCATTTCCCCAAACTGTTAGCTCAACACGGTAAAAAAAACCCAAACCCTTTTACTTTCCCCCCGTGCTACGTCTTTAGGTGTTTACTTTCTAATCCCAGTTACCGTCAAAACTTCCTGCTAAACTGCAGTTTTATATTTTATGTGGGAGGAGTTCGTCCGGACGGTAAAAAAGAAAAATAAATGCACCTCAAAAGATAGAGATAACCCGTCTCCTCTTCAAAATTACCTTTCACATTTGAGGGTGCATCATATATTTCTTGTATAGCTATGACAAAATTACTTTAGATGTATTTATATATGGGATATAAATTATGAAATGGTGCAGTAAATCATATTTCACCGAAATCCTACCCGACGCCACCCTGTATAAACACAATGTCATAAATAATGGCTAGGTTTACTTGCTCAACAACATATTCTTATTGTTTGCCATGCCTCGATCCAAATCTTGAATAATTGAGTATTATCGATTGAAAACAAAAACTTAAACATGCTTACTTGTAAGTCATATATTACGTGATTCTCTCACTTCTCTGCAATTTTTAGTAATAAATACTTCATAAAGACAATTTTAAAACATGCATAATACGTACATTACATCACTGTTGACTCCGATTTCAAAGGAGGTTAAGGTATTTAAATCTTTTTATTTTAAAATAACAATACAAATGTCATGTTCCAAGTATACTCAATTACATATACCGAGCAAGTCAAGCTGCATTTTAAATTTCTAACAAAGAAAAAAATCAAGTTATATAATCATATTTTAGAAATAGCATAAAATTAAACTGCAGGATATTTTAAAAATGTTTTTTGCTGAATTAAATCTGATTATAGTAAAAAAAAAATAATAAAAAAAAAATAAAGAAAAAACAGGGAAAATTAAAAAATAAATCTTACCTGGCCCGTGTAGAAGTGTTGTGGGTGGGGATACTGAAATCCTAGCTTCCTCAGTCGAAATTCCTCCTTAAGAGATCCCACTCCCCCTGCCTCCTCCATGTTATATCTTCTGCACGCTTGTCAGTGAGGGGCTTAAAGTGTCACCGTAAACTACAGGTGCGTAGGAAACACGTGGTTTTCATAATAAATACCTGCATGGTTCCTTATCAAACTTTTATCATGGAGCGATTCCTCGCCTCAGTTTAACGCTCTCACGTCATAGTTTAATTTTACCTCTTGATCCGCCTACCAGATAGGTGGCAGCGTGCATAGGAACTGGGCCTTCTAATTTGAGAATAAATCAGTACAACTGGCGGTACGTTCGTTCATAAATCAACACATGTTCTGAAGTCAGTGAGACTAATTTGTGCGCCTTCCGCAAACATGATGGATATAAGCAGTGTTCAAAATTGAATTAATTATTTTTACGAAATGTTGTTTACATTACCTCAATGAGGGGCAGATTATTTTACTTTTTATTTTTGATAAATTGATAACGCTACCAAATTTATTGTAGAAAGGATTTAATTAACCCATTTCAAGTCCGCTGATAGGGGTCTTTCCAACATTCAATTTATCCAGAGGTGGTTAATTTTTAACGCTAAGGCTTAATCTCTCAAACATGCTGCATTTTAAGTTAGAATAAAAAAAGCCGTTAATTGTTTTCTTTATAATATAAAACAAAAATATTTCTTTATAATATAAATCTCAAATAAGCCGGTGTTACATGAACATAGTACTGTTTATGATTTGTTTGGGGAAAATGTTTTGTGATAAACCTCTTATATCCATATACCTAACAATAAATTAGACTATATCCATATACCTGAGAATAAATTAGAATATCTGCAATACATGTGTATACCTAGAATTTTCATGTAAACTGAATTTGTATTTGATGTCATGAATATCATTAAAAGATTTTTCACTGTTTCAACTCTATATTTTGAACATGCAGTATTCAGATTTTGAATATTAACGAAATGTCTACATTTAGGTACTTCATCGCCGTGTGTGAGAGTAAAAGTGTGTGTTTAGGGGTGCAGGGAGGGGGGCGCAATCTCAACTTCTCGGGCCTTTCCGACAAGCGGAAAAACAACCTCTGACGGACAGACACGAAATGATGCAATCGCGGGGGGGGGGGGGGGGGGGGGGAGGGGGGAGGGGGGTTAAGGATATAGTCAAAGACTGAAAGTCCGAAAGAAGCAATTTTAGTTAGACAACATATCTTTTACCAATATTAACAGACAAACTTCGTCCTTATTGATAATTTTCCGTGTTAATATTACGAAAAATTGTTGCACAACGTGTAAAAATAAACTAAACTTGCAAAAATTCGGGAAACTTTTCACTTTCGAAAAAAAAATCCGCGTTTTTAACGTTTACAATATCGTTGTATTATGACGTCACAATGCTGAATACGTCAAGCCGCTGGATTCGGTTGTTATTTTACCACAGTGATAGACGCGTTTAGGAGTAGGGGAGGCTACTTTTAGAACTTTAATGAATAATTCTTAATTGAAATGAGCGAAACGATGGAAAAAGAGTCGATGTTAGAAAAGATTGTCGGTAGTGAAGTTATTGGCTTGTTAAAGTGCAACATATGTTGGGATATTTTTACAGATCCGACCATTCTACCCTGTGGACACACATTCTGCATGGGGTAAAGTAGTATTTTATTTTATCTATGATCTAGCATTTCTGGGGTTTTTTTTATCATTCTCATTAAAATAGAGGCATGGATTCCAAGAGAAAATAATACATGAGTGGAATTGGTGAATCTGACAACCCCCTCCATTTTAATTGCGGTTATCAATCTAACGAACATTTACAATTTCAGAGAATAACTCGCATACCAGAGTATCTTTATGAGTGCAATATACCATGGAACATGGTATATAATTAGGACATAAAGATTTTCCCATTTGATATTTTCTGTCTTAATGCTAAGTTAATGTATAGCGGTCGCGAACTGGGTTTACCGACGATATGTAAGCTATGAACGCAAGAGTCCTGCTGTTAAATTATGGCCACTTAAATATAGCGCATTGCAATATGAAGATCTGGCATTAATTTTTTCAAAGGAAAATTCCGAGTAAAACTGTAATGATAATCACATTATTTAAAAGAAGAATGAAAGTTAATTTATATTTTTACAGATGTTTGAATGAGATAGGTCGACATCGGTTGAAAAATACCAAAGTGGCAGTTACCTGTGACATCACAATCTTCTGTCCAAACTGTCGTCATGGCGTTCTTCTCGATGACGTCAACAACCTAAAGAATGGTGTTCGATTAAACTACGCTTTGAGTTCTATTAAGGAAACACTGACAAATTTTCAGTCTGTGCCGAAAGTAAGTTTATAATAATAAGACATTTATTTTTAGATTATGTATTTCGTTTATTGTGTTACAAATTGTATATGTATTACATGCAAATAACTTAGTATTTTAAAAGTACATGCAATTGAAATTCATATATATACTGCGGATATTGAAATAAGTACTAGTATACAAAGTATGACATCATCATATTTATTCTTTATTATTTGGGAAATAAAGCCAGTAACTAACTAGTATATATAAAATACATGGTTACTGTCTTGAAATATAAGCGATATTTAGTCGAGGGTAAGAAAACGTGATAGAGGGCGAGGCTTGCCGAGCCCTCTTACGTTTTCGACCCGAGCCCAAATATCGCTTATATTTCAAGACATTTATCATGTATTTTGTTTATCCTGCAACATATTTGTACCATTTGAACGTCCAAAACTAGCTATTTTCGACAGATTTAGGCACGTCTCTGCAGTTGAAACTATGACGTCATGGCGTAAACATTGGAATATACGTGACGTCACAATGCTTTTGGAACGTCGGAATACATGCACGAGACTTTATTAGGGCAGTGACCGGATAAAACTTTGGTTTATTAGGTTACCTTTATTAGGTCAATGCAAGGGGTAGTTGCAGGATAAAAAAATATTATTTTGCACCGGTAAATTTGATTTGCTCAAGTCTCGTCCCTCTTTTCTTCGAAAAGTGGAATTTCAGAGAAAAAAAAAATATACAGGAATATTTACATGTGCTCCCTACTGAAGTATAAAACAAGGCGACCCCCCCCCCCTTTTTCTTTTCCTTTGCAGATTTTGATTTAATTTATTATAGAATAATTTATTCATTATTTCAAAATATAACGAAAAAAAAAACTCTACAAATTTTCAACTGTTTAGCATGTACGGAATTTAAATTAATATGTGTCTGTATTTTTCCAGGTTGACGCCGCAACCAACACCGATACCGAGGCAGTGTTGGACGAAAAGCTGAAAAACATCGAACAAAATATGAATACGGCCTTTTACGAACTAAAGAAAAGGGGCAACGTTATAAACAGCGCTTATGCACAAATAGCAAAAATCAGAGAATGCCAAAATTTAAAGCCCGGGGTCTTTCAAGAAAACAACGAGTTAAACAATTGCACTTTGAAGACTAAACGCACAAATGATCAAGTATTTGATGTCTTGAAAAGCAAACTGAATGTCAATCAACCCGAATTTGTTCCACGTAGCTATTCCCGTCCTAAACAAAGCGGTTACCATCAAGGGAGAAGGAATCAGTATTATGAGCGACGGTCATGGAATTCTACTTCCGGTTTGATTCCACAATATCATAGAGTTCACCCCGCATTTGACCCTGCCATTGTTTCCGTCTATGGTCCTGCGCAGTAAAACAACCAAAAACATTACTTTTGATATCAATGTTTTTATTTTTAGAAAGCGTTGACCTATTTATTTTGTATATGAGAACATTGACGACGCCATTTTGTATTTTTATACCTGGCTTTTTCCAGAAACTTTTACATCATACTTATATGCTCTTACTGCATGTAGTTTAGAAATTTTTTAAAAAAATTCAATAAAGGCAAAACATTTTTAAGCCCTATTTAAATTTAATTCCTGCGTTGTTATCCAATTCCAAGAAGGAAGGCGTACAAGGCATAGAAAATTGATTCTTTGTTCAATTAACTTACTTGGTGAATGTTATTTTGTTGTTTATGAAGTTAACAGTTCAACATATTCAGAAAAAAGTGTATCTTGACCCCCAACCCCACCCTAACCCCAACCCCCAAATGAATATAAATTGGTAATCTCCATTAAACATTATCTAACATGCACATGGATGTAAAATGCATTATATACAAAATCTATTCTGTGTCCCCTCTTGGAAATAGAAAACTTAATTAATAAGATTACATTCTGATTTAAAAAAGTAAGTATATATATTAAAAAGCTTAAATTCTAGAATTTAATAATAATAGCAAGGATGAGAAAGACCGTGTAGAACATGGAGCCGGTAGCTGTGGATGCTGTGTTCGTTTTGTCCGGATCGTCATCATATGTCCCGAAAAGACGCGCAGGTCCGCCACTTCCGTCATAAATCTTGACAACCGGAACGTAAATAGTACTTCCGCTTTCTGGAATGTTATCCAGATTGGCAACATTCTCAATCCCTACCACGTTATTTTTACCCATGATCACGTGACAGGGTAATGTCCTGGACTGTCCATAATCCGTAGAGGGCGTGTCCACTCCAATAGCGTTGACCTGTCGCTTGTTTATCAGCCACTTGACAGCTTCCTCGTGCCAGCTAGGAAAATGGTATGTAGTGTCATCCTGAAGCTGCGCAGTTCCGTAGACAAGAGTATAGTTAGAGTATTTCTGAGTCCAACCCGAGTTCATTATAACTACGGCATGCCTAGGAATCTCTCCATATTTTTCTTCGTATTTCGAAAGATCGTCCGTAGAAACTCTTCAAAGACAGAAAATAATACATTAAAAATCCAGTTTCATTTCGACGTCTCGCAAAATACAATAATTGCATGCTATGTTGAAATTTTCAGTTTGAAATATCCCACCCAATGGAAATAAGTAAAAACAAGATGTGTTTGTGAAACACTGATGCCCCCTTTTGGCAACATAGCAAAGATTACACTTTTCTTAAATGCAAATTTTATTAATTGGTACCAAAAGTATGGTATTCTCACTGGAAAACAATTGCCAATGTTTAAGTTTTTTCAATAAATACAATAATCTCCAAGGTCAATGTCAAAAGGTCAAGGTAAACGGTATCCAATGAAAGGTGTTGCCACATAAAATACTTTTGTAGGGTATGGAAGCCCTAAACGTTCAGAAGTTATGGCCGAGCTTAATCTTTATTTTAAATGTAGGTCAAACTTGAGGGTCAAGGTCAAAGGGTCAAAGTTCTTGTTATCAAATGAAAGGTCATGTCACAAGGATTAAATATGTTTACTAAAAGCCCAACCCTTTAAAAATCTGGTCAAGGTTTGCTTTTTTAAAGTAAGTCAAACTCAAAGGTCAAGGTCAAAGGTCAAAGATCTTACTATTCGATGAAGGGTCTTTTCACAAGAATTACATATATGAAATGTGAAAGCCCTATCCCTTACCGTTCAAAAGTTATGGCCAAGGTTAAAAGTTTTTTCACAAGAACGGAAATCTACAAGATCAAGGTCAAAAGGTCAAGGATATTGGTATCCAATGAAAGGTCTTTCCAAAAAAAAAAAATAAATATTCGAACTATAAATGTCCTGGTATCTACTGTTCAAAAGATATGGCCAAAGTAAAAATTAAAATTTTTCATGTAAAAGTGGGTCAAACTCCAAGGTCAACAGACAGACAGAGAGACAGAGACAGAGAGACGGACGTACACGACAAAAGCTACATACCCCCGAAACTTCGTTTACGGGGGAATAAAAAACCACGTCATTTGAAAGTGCCAATTAAAACGGTCTTTAAAACCATGCAATATTTGTGTGATACCTTGTGTATTTTTAATTCTGACATGTTCCTTATACATAAAAATTCAACCTAGAATAAATCATTTGTACGGAAATTTTAATGCTTCAGCACTTGCATTCTGGAAAAATACATTATAACCTATGGTGTCCGGATAGGGCCAATTGCAAAAGCTCAACAGCGCGTTAAAAAAAAAAACAAAAAAAAAAAACACGCCGTCTCTCTTGCACACAACGCGCTGTCAAGGTGACACAATTTCGCACAACACGCTGTCGCGCCAACACACAACCCGCTGTCACGCTAACACGAGTTCACACAACACGCCGACGCGCTAACACACAATGCATATTTTCAAAGTAATGTCAAGCTGAGTAATACGTTTTTGACGAAACTCATTGTGACGTAGGCAAGTTAATATGTTAAACAAAAAGGACTAAATATTTTACCCAAATAAATACATTTTACAACTTAAATTAAAATTTTGCAACCTTCTAAAGAAAACAAGATTTGTCCGTGAAACACTGAAGCCCCCGTATGGCCATCGTCTCAAGCCACGGTCCGGAGTCCGCATATAGTACATTTTGGCCGTGGTTTGCGACAATGCCGTATGGCAGTTTATGGCGAAGATTGAATTCTCTTAAATGCACGTCAAACTCCAAAGGTCAAGGTCAAAAGGTTAAAAGTGTTGGTACCCAAAGGAAGAACTTGTTGTAAGAAATACACCTGTGAAATATGAAAGCTCTGGTTTTAACTGTTCCAAAATTATGACCAAGGTTAAAGTTTCTAAAAAGTGAGTCAACCTCTTAGGTCAAGAGGTTAGTAATATTTATACTTAGTTGAAAGATCTCGTAAAAATAAATACACATGTGAAGTGTGAAAGCCCTAGCTTCAACTGTTCAAAAGCTACACAGGTACGATAAGGCTTCCCAGAGAATAATGCAGTGTACTCTGTGCATGTACTTCTCTGAACTACAAATGTATGACGTCATAAATGAAAATGAGGACAAGTCAATGCATACTTGAGCTGTAAAGATGGGGAGAGTGTCATAAACTTTACACCTTATTTCAATCTGCATATAAAGATGCAAAATGCTAATTTAAAATAAACATGTTTCAATCATTTTTATCAAATTATGTAATATATACGAATAATTTAGATAACTTTGCTTTATTATTTTTGTTTAAAAGTCAGCATGTTCAAAATATGTACGAAAATAAAATTATACGTTTGACATTTACCCTTTTTTATACCCGTGGATAGAGGCAAAATTCATAATATGTGTATTAAACAGCCTGGTGGAGGTCATTAATAAGGATATATTTAATATCTGTAAGAGGAGGTTCCCCTCTAACTGAATCTTGCTTGGGAAATATGTATGATGACCTTGTTTTAAAACAGATGACGATTTTTAGCGGAACATATTCTCAGATTTGTCGGTAAGTTGAAGTTAGTGTGAAATATTTTGTAACAGAGTAATTGTACCCGATATAACTTTTCCCAAGCACATTTAGGGTTCACAAGGATGCATCGAGTATATTTATGTAACAAAAAGTTAATAATAATCCTGTTAATCACCTGCGATGAAGCGATTTATGTGAAACACTTCAAAAAGAAAGAAATGACCATCACGTGATCAACGAGGTCATGTGATATCATAACAAATATGTTTATATATAGCCAAGAGAACTCTCTATATGAATTGGACGTACTTAAGAACATAACTTAAAAAACCCCTCAAAATCAACTTTCCAGTGCAGTGTTACGTTTTAAATGCATTTAAAGCTCCGGGAAGCCTTAAAATTACTGCGTATGGCAAAGGTTAAAGTGAGATATGAGATATATTTGTAAAAGTAGGTCAAAATCCAAGGTCAAGAGATCATACTTGGTGGTACTAAAAGAAAGTTCTTTTTACAAGTAAATAACATGTGAATTATGAAAGCCATAGCCACACCCACACAATAGTTATGGGCTATGTTAATGTTGACAACAGGCAGATAGATAGACAGACAGACAGATAGGACAAAACAATATACCCCTAGGATCTTTCAAATCACGGGTGTAAAATGGTTTTCGTGAAGGCTGGGTCTTAAGTTTTTGTTTTCCAGCTTCAGAGACTACCAGACTGGAGAAAATGATTGTACGAATTTTACATCGTTTAAGTGGACTACTTAAAGTAGATGCAGTATCGAGTTAGACTGTAAGTCTCGTTCTCGTCACTTCTGGTATCAGGCTTCCGGTGACATGGTCATCTCTATACAGTACTGGGCAAATTAAATTGCCGACATGCCCAAACTTATGTTAAAACTTACTGGTAGTGATAATATGCACAAAGGAAACAAACAGAAAGTTATTTTCTCTTCTCAACCACGCTTGTTTGTCACCGGAAGTTACAACCTCTCGCGAAATCTCGTGTACGAGCAATCTCCTATGCAGAGTTGTCGTTCGTTCCTCTCTCAGACACGTATGAGCCTATGGTAGAGAGTGGTGTACGAGCTTACAGTCTCCAACTTAAACGGTATATAAATGAATGGGGTTTCAGTTTTATTAAAGAATATAATTTTAGTTATTATTTTGTTGGCTGCATGGTATTTTCTGTGGAGTACGAAATATTTCCAAGACCGACCTTGTGTAAATTCGGACTGACGTTGGTTCCCTTATCCCTTTTGTATATATTATATAGTGATTACGTAAAATCAAACATAATACGTTACCGGCCCCTGTGATAAATAAAGGTTACTCTAATGTCATAAACTTTTGACATAATTTTGTTACGACGACTGACGTCCGATCGTAAAGGGTCGACCAGCATTTAATGGATTACATCCGTTGAGTTTAGAAAATAAAGCATTTCACGTATTAAAAATCATAGTCAAGTATGAATAAGTCACAAATGTAAATATTTGTAATACATGGAAGGTATCATTTTAAATTAGGATAATATGAATCTCGTGACCAACCCGTATTCATATCCCGATATATGTTTTAAAATCATACTTTATTTCTTTAATATGTACAGGGTGAAATTATATTTTTATCCCTTTGATTCTGTCATGAGTGCTATATGTACATGAATAATTATATGAAGAAAGTTACAGTTTTTTCACCTGTAATCCGGATTGCTCTCGACCTTGGCTTTAACATTTATTATAACTCCAGGTCCGTATAATTTTTCAATCGGGATCTGATGCGCCTTCCAGGAGCCCTGGAAAAGGTGAGCCGGAGCGTCTACATGAGTGCCCATGTGCTCTGGCATTGCGAAGTGATTGCTTTCTAGCCTAAAAAATATAGACTTTTTGTAAAACTCTGCTTCATTTTATAAGTATGGATATAATAAAATTATATATGTAGAGCTTAAAACTGAGACCACATCATAATTTTCGTTATATTCAGTAAGATACTCTCACTAACTCTTTAAAGACGAACAGTCCATAATCAAAATATTAGTCCACCCGTAGCTACAATAATGTAGTCCTCTCCTATTTGATTTAATCTGATGTTTTCTTTAGAGGGCCACAATTTCACAGCATCTCCGTAATGGTGCAAACATTTTTTTTAAATACGAATGAATGCAGGCAAAATTAATTATTTTACATTCAATTTCAACTTACTACGAATAAGACGCAATTTTTATTCACTGGCCACAACATAGTCCGTTAAAAAGACCATGTAAAACAAATTTGCGTGTTTACCAGTCGCTCTACTAAGCAGCCATGACAGTTCACGCGTGATGTACCGGTAAGTTGAGACGTTCACATGAAATTATGAACAACTTCACAGAGCAAATGTTGGTGTTTATAATTGAATATATTTACATTTGCTTTGTTTTACTAGTAAGACAACAGTGAAATTGATTTGAAAACCATTTTTGTGTATATTCACGCGTAGAAATATACACGGAGAAACGTGAGCTAACGTGACGTCACAATGAGGCTACAGCGACGTTAGAAAATGCATCAAAATAGGATGACGAGATATTTAAATATTGAGATTATTATTGATGCTTTAAGGCATGGAAAATGTAAATATAAGGAATGTTTTTAAGTTTAGTGTGAATTATTGATGTGTGAATCACGTAGCGCGCTTCATGAAATATGCCTACGTGACAAATCTGTGTGATTCACTCCCACAATTGCCCCCCCCCCCCCTCCCCTCCTAAAAAAAGGAGGAGGGCTAAATAATTGCAGTTAATTCAAACAAAAAATATTGATCGTCAATATTATATATTTATTGCATGATCTTGAGGGAAAAATTAAAATCTATTCAGCCAAGAAAAACCTATTCGCCAAGGAGTATGATATGTCTTGGCTGAATATTTAATCCTGTTTTCCGAACATTCATGCAGTTAATTGTTTATTATACCGAATCAAGCAAAGGTTTTAAATGAACACAAACTGTCAAATTCGGCACGGCTCTCAAATTCACTTTCATTTTCAACGTACGTTAATAAAACCCTCTGACACATCACTAATCAGCAATTTTGTGACGTTAAAACTAGTCTATTATGACGTCTACTACTCTCGTTATGTGTAAATTAATTATTTAAGAAATGAAGCTTATTTCAACTAATATCATACGATATAACATAACTTGGGGCAGTTTACGCTTGATGAACCGCGAAGCGGTTCATAAAAAAGCGTAAACTGCCCCACGTTTTGTTATATCGTATAATATAAGTTGAAGTAAGCTTCATTCCTTATAATTTAATTTCAGTGCAGACAATGAGATAATTTTTCCCCCAGAATAAGGATTCACATTGATTAAACTTTAAAAGTAACGTCAAGCAGAGTAACACGTTTTTGACGTAACTCATTGTGATGTAGGCAAGTAATGTTATACAAAATGGATAAAATCTTTTATCCAATCAAATGACGTATTACAAGTAATATTAAATTATAATGCGAGAAAATAATTTTTGCTATTGACTGACTAGGCTAGGAATAATGGACAAAGAATTTTCCCACCTTTTATGTTATATTCATTTGAAAGGAAGATGTTTAAAAAGTGACGTAATTAACCCTTCTCTAATCCAAAAACAATGTGATGTTCACAACAGTATGATCGTTAAAGTCAAATACACAACTAGTAAAAATGGCGAGACTTGTACACGCCTCAAACGCAGAGATTGACCATTTTTTGGATAATAGTAAGAGCAAGAACAAATCAAATTTAAAATCTGTGTCCGTGAGTATCATCTGGAACTACTTGGAAGATACAGTGACTGACATTTCCTTCGAAGATTTGGAAAGTGATTTTAACGAGAAATTGAATTCAGTACTAAGGAAATTTTATGCGAAATTCTGGAAGAGAAATGGAGAAATGTACTCAAAACTATAAATGGTTTCCACACGATACAGGCTGCAGAGACATTTCCTAAAAACCAAAGACATGGGCATTATGAATAATAAAAACCAGCTAGTAACGTGTTCAAGTTTTACTAGTTTAACTTACAAGGAAGTTTAAAGGAAAATGAGAAACCAAACACCAGGAAATGATATCTGAAGATGGTCGGGAAAAAAGATCGGGAAAAATGTATAGCACATGAATTCTGCAAACAACACCCTACTATTATATAGTACAAAGTTTTCTTCGAACTCGAACTATTCTTTTACAGCAGAGGTCGGGAAAATGTACGAGAAATTAAAAAACCCTTTAAAATTTGCACTGAAACCCAAGTAAAATTGATAATTTTATGTATTTTTTGTTTTTGGTTGCTTTTTTTATATGCATAAATGTATTTTAGCATGATATTAAATCCTTGAATATTGTAGGGGAAGTATTTGTTGTAGCAAAGTACACTGCGTCTTTCGAAAAGTCATCGAGGACACACGATCGACAGCGATGAAAAGTCACCAAGAAGAGCCTTGCAATGAACTATGTCTGGTCACATGTCCTCGAGGATATGAGGCATGACAAATCAGAGGATTATCAGAACAAAACTCCGAGTCTAGCATTAAACACTAGAACATGTTCTAGTGCAAAAGATTGAGGGGCAATATGAAAATCCTTCTGTATTCAACAATGCAGAGATGAAAAAAATTAGATGGATTGCATGATCAGTACGTACAGGCCCCTGCCGACAAAGCAGGTAACAATATTGTCTTCATTTGTAAGGTTCGTTATATAAATTGTATTTCAGAAGAACTTGAATATACTTCTACAAGTGGTAATCTTACTTAGACTCATAGTTTCCTCTCTAAGAAAGAAATTCTTTAAAATCACATGTCAGTTTTGAATATTTTTAAAATCCCAAAGAACCAAAATGAATTTGAACTACCATATCTTTATTGGATTTCGAAACTTCGTAGAAATCCTTACACACAACGATACATTTATAGCGGGTTCCAGTAAATGTTCAACTAAGTCTCTTTCTTTACTCCTCACTAAGTTATCATCAGTAGTGATGGAGCAACTTTAAGAGTACTATGCAACAATATATTCAAGAAAAGGAGTAAATTAGATGTGGGTACTAAAATAATCCCAGGAACATTTAAACAGTTTTAAATCAAAAGATTTTACCAAAATCAACAGCTTAAAATTGTACGACTTTTCAACATTATACATAACCATATTCCCATCGTTAAATCAAAATCAAGGTTTTTCATATCATTGAAAGCTGCTTTTTCGATAAAAATAGAACTCGTAAATACTTACCTTGTCATTTATCATTTGCAGAATTATTGTGTTAAAATACACCTGATCCCACCTCTAATATTTTGGAGGTCTGTGTTTGCTCTGCTTCTATTTTGTATTGTTTATGGACATTTGATCATGAATACTGTTCGCTTTTTCCATGTTGTTTCATGTTTATATTAATAATTATTATCTAAGTATTTAAAGCAATATGAGCTGCATTTTTGAGAGTTTTATTTTGCTGGTAAAATGTGTTATGTCGACAAAATAGATTAAGAATGATTGGCAGCTTTTGTCATGGCTTTATTGATTAATAGTCAAAATCAATCATCAATACAATCAATATCAAATCAATCGTCAATACAGTGAATACAATGATGTACACAAGGTATCTCTACAGTGATGTACATAAAGTATCAATTCAATGATGTACACAAAGTGTATATTGAATGATTAATACACAATGTGTACAATGATATTCAATGATAAACAATGATATTCAATCAATGATGTACGCAAAGTGTATACATGTATTTACACAATAGGTACAATGAAATTCAATGATATGCAATGATATTCAATAATATGCAATAATATGCAATGATATTCAATGATATACAATGATATTCAATGATAAATGAATTGCAATGAGCAGGTAGCAATGTATTATAAAGACAATGGTCTACGTCGACTTTATCAATAGTATATGACGTGGAATCAATAGCAATGACACAATGACGGAAGCTCAATTATTGACCACTGGCCCTGGAAGATAACAGGATCAGCAGCGAGCTTCTAGCAAAATTCGGCCATATGTCTTCACATGGGAGCCAATAAAGCGCTGCATGTGAAAACATCCGCCACATGCAGCAAATTTTGCCCATGCCATGACAAAGCTGCTATTTATTAGAGTTATGCAAATTTAATTACCGCTTGATACATATGCAGTAAACTGGAACTAGGGAAGTTTTATATGATTTTCAATTTAAATTTTTTAACATTTGCAATAACAAGTGGATTAATAAACTATTTAAAAATGGAAATGGTGGGTAGCACTGCAAATTTTGACAAATTATTTTGATTATGCCACACTGAATGGTATAGAGGAAAATAGAATGTGCTATATATAATAGTTGCAACTTTCAAATATCAATAATATATGTGATGATCAATAACTGTTAAATAGTTCAATAGAGCAATAGTTGCAAAGATCAATAATATATGCAATGATCAATAACTGTTCAATAGTTCAATAGATCAACAGTTGCAAAGATCAATAATATATGTAATGATCAATAACTAAATGGAAATGGTGTGTAGCACTGCAAATTTTGCCAAATTATTTTGATTATGCCACACTGAATGGTATAGAGGAAAATGGTAGAATGTGCTATATGAGAAAGGTGAACACCCTCTGGATACAATTTTGATGAGCACTGTTGAATATCTGGGTAGTGACTATACCCCCAACCCTTGTGGCAATGAACCAATATGATGAGCTATTTATCCTAATACGAGCCTTGTGTGAAAACATGGGCCTGAAATAATTTCTTCGCAGTATTTGTGACCCAACAAATTTTAACCTTGGTATTAAACATAATTGAAAACAAGACGGAGTCAATTTCATAAACTTTTGTAGATGGCA